AAGCCTTTTTCAAAAGTTTTCAAATCCATTAGAATTCAGCTCAGATACCTCAGAGAAAAGAGAAAGGTGTGATATAGCTTTAAGAATGATATATTGAAAAACATATCATGATGGTACACATCTCTTGCACTTTGTTCCCCACAGGGGTCTATTCCTGTTCCAGTGCAAGCACCTCCCAGTATAATGCTACTTTTCTACTTCAGAGCTAGGGAGATTGGGGCTGACGTGCTGCCATACTCACAGACTGATCCTCGGGCAGCAGCTGACAAGCCCCCACATTGGCTTTAGCTTCTTCTCCAGAGCAGTTCGTGGCACCCACAGCAAACTCAGTAACAACAACGTGCACTGGGTGATACTGATAAAACAGGAAAATTGTTTAACTGACTTTGCACTCAGAAACTGCAGAGCTGCTGAGAAAAGATAAAAAGCAAATGTTGTGGCTTCATTTCCCACTGGAGTGAAAGGGAATCCTGTGGCTAAAATGACACCTAATAATAGTTGGGAAATTAAAAGCAAATCAGGTGGTCGAATCAGAGCAAGCAAATTATGTCTATTTGCAAACATAACTAGGTAGCAGCGCACAATTACTGTAGAAGAAATATTATGTTTTCATGAAAGGCTAGACATAGTTCTAGAAATTACCTGTATTACAGCTCTTCCAATCTCGAGGAGCCTGAGGTAAGGACCAGTGGTTTTGCTGTTGTAGTCATTGAGTGCAGCTGACACTGCTTCTAACACGTCTGTGTCGTTCAGATTTGCCAGCAGGGGACAGTCAGGGCAGACTTTGCTAACGTCTTCACGGGAGTCTGCAGGAGGAATAGATCATGCTTTGATCAGATTGTAAATTGTTTAGAAGGGCATTATAGACCTATTCAGTAGCACAAAACACTGTTTAAAAGTCTGTCCCAAATTAAAGTGGCAGGAATTTTTCCAGTGCAGGCTACAGATGGCAGTGTGTCACACGACTTGGCCATTCAAATCTTTCTGCAAGGAAAAGTGCTGTGGACTTCAGTAACACATTTTATTACTCTATTTTTACTAAATTTTCTTTCTGGAAACCTCTATGACACTACTGAAAAGTTAGTTCACACAAGGAATGGTAGAAAAATGAAGATACTTTAACTTATTGGAGTTGTGTTTGTGTGTGTTATTTCAGTCATTGGTTTTGACAGTAGTACTGAAGATATGTCATACAGAGCAAAGAGATCTCACACTGAGCACACAGAATAGACATTCTGCTTTCCCATGGTAGTATTGAAAATGCTAGATTTAAAGAAGCTTCATCTGCCAATGGGACTGATGACCAAAAAGTGCAAGTAAACACAGACCAATAAGGAATCAAATTCTTAAGGTTAAACTTCTGACTGAAAAGACTCAAATCTGGGACTTGCTCCCCAGTTAGTCTTACAGTATCTTAATTGTCAAAGTAAAGAGGAGCAAAGAGAAACAGTGGGTTTGTAAGGGAATGAAACCAGAAAAGGGGGCTGGATTTAGAAAGCCCATTAACTGTTGTTCTTTATTCCATATTTATACCCAGCAGTTTAGAATCAGAAAAGCTACTGAACTGCAAACACTGCTATAAAAATACTCCAGTCTCTAGATTTAAACCTACAGAACAAAGCTTTTACCTGCATGTGAGTGGCATTTGCTAGCGAGTACAGATAATATCCCATTCACCTTCTGCAGTTTAACATCACAGTCACCCTCAACTGCCTAGAGAGAGACAAAAATCAAAGGGTTACATTGTTCAGATAAATTGGATTTTCTGATAAAGGGCCACTAAATTCAAAAGAACAGATCCTAGCTGACCATTCCTGGAAACACTGGCCTGATGGCAAAGGCACTGCTAGGCATGTCCTGATGTCTGTGATTTTGTAAAAGGCAGATCAGAGCTACAAAATCTGGATCCAAATCTGGATCTCAAAAGTATCAAAAGTACCAGGGTAGCAAGATTGTGGACATTTAGTGCAGGTTCGTCTCTCATATAGAGCAAAGAATATGAACACTTATGAATCAAGATCTTCCACAGAACTGTTTGATAACATTCTCACTAATCTCAGCTGGTCAGTGGCCATGGTAACAGCAGAGTGTGCTGCCTTGTGTGAGCAACATGATCCAGCAGGGAGGAGATGTCAAAGGCAAAGCTGGAGTCACTGGGAAGAGGAAACAGTTAGAGTTACCTCCCCCCCAATGGAAAATAGAATCTGAGCCCTGATGAAAACAGGGGTAGATCATGATTCATATTTAGTGAGCTCTGTGAATTGGGCC